CCAGCGGTATGTCATTATTGCCTGGGCCGTTATTTTCGGCATTTAGCGGAAAAATCCTGCTGAGACGAACAGTTGCATATGGTGTTATTTCGTCTTCATCAGCGCCATCCGAAATATCTGGTTTACGTCCTGCCCCTGGAGGAATGACAAAGTTAAATAAGAATTCTGAAAAGCTGAAGGCAGCGAACCCAATTTTTGTTTGACTTACTGTATTTCTTGAAAAATATAGCAGCCAGTGCTACTACAACGATGAAAGACACTGATCCGACGGTTGAAACTAAGGGGATTTTGCTGAACGTCAGCCCTAAAAAAACACATAAACCATGGAGAGAAACAGATTATTCATAAAAATAGAGGATAAAGCTTCGGAATTAGACGACTATTATACCACATATACACTGGCCGGGCAAGCTAGGGAGAATACATCACGATATGTAAGCAATTATCAAGTATTAAAGTTACTAGTTGAGAGTCTGGGTCGGGCGTCATGAGGGACGGACGTGTGTTTTAATCCGGAGCGCACTAACCTCCCGAAACCTCGGTAACTATTTTTATTTAAAGTCTTATGGTTGAAGACACCATGCCTACGCCGGCCAAGAAACAAGGTTTTTGTCAAGACGTTTCCGGAAGGCTCGCCAATTAGAATATCCTGCGACGAAGACTTGGACAATCTTTAAACTATTCACTCGTTGAGGGAAGTATAAATGTCACAACCTGATAACTAGGCTATGTGTCTTTATTTTTATAATTATTATGTTAAGGGAGGTTTTTGGAGCTTTTCGTGTTCGTTAGCCGTTTCCGCAGGGACCAGACTTAATCTAGTTTTTGGGACACATTTATATTATTTATTTATTTATTTTTTTACTTTGCTGTTTTTCTTTTTTTTTTAAGAAAACTTGTTTATTTACCGTAGCTACGTTATATCTTTCACTTATGCTCGATCCAACAGCATGCAAATTCCTATCGTTAAATGTGAGAGGTTTAAAAAGTAAGAAGAAACGC